AACTATCTTGAATTTGGCAGGATCTCCAGCTGAGAACCACTGGAATGCTGCCTCTGCTTGCCACAATGGTTCTGAACCAGGGTGATGCCCCATGCTTCTGCCTGTGTCAAGGTTATCTGCCTAAAGCAGGCAGGAGCATAATGAGTTTTGTACTCTGGGCAAAACTTGCCTGTGCCCCTGGGGCAGTGTTTGGAGGGGAAGGAGGGTGGTTTTACCTGTCCTGGGTGTCCCTATACCCAGCTTCTCCAGCCAGGCACAGCAAAAGGCTGCTCCAGCACAGCAGGACTCTCTTGGCTGAGCAGTATAAAAGGCTGCTGTAGCCCAGCGTGACCCCTCCAGCTGGGCAGTGCAAAGAGCTGCAACTGGAATGCCAACTCTTGCCACAGGGGTATAGGTTTTAGCCATGTTGGTTTAAGGACATAGGTAGACAGTTGGTGTGCAGATGCTTTCTCTGCCTGACAAAGGGTATTTATACCCAAAAGCTTGCTAAGAAGAATTTTTCCAACTATTTGAGTTGGTCTAATAAAAGATATCAGATTTACCCAAAGAACTCTTGACACAGCCCTTCCAGGTCTGGCCTTGCATGCTTCTCCTGGAAGCAGAGGGGCGTGGGACAGTTCTACCTGCCTGGCTTCAGGAGGTGCATGTGGGGTCAAGATCAGGAAAGCCTCCAGGATCTCCAGGAAGAGAATGGGTTTCAGCCAGCTCCAGCCACAGCTGCTTCTCAATTTGTCTCTGCAGGAAGTGCCTGGGGTATTTTATCTTGGCTGTGGCTGCATCCAAGTTGCAACACTCCTGGAAGACTCTCACAGCACCCTAAAGTACCAGATCACCCCAGTTGAGAACCACTGCCCTAGAGGTTCTACAGTGAGACTTCTTAAAGTTGAAAGGAGCATCTTTTTAATAGGGGGAGCAAGCATGGTGATATATAAGTACCTCCACATAATGCTGGAGACAGGAAGTATGGGGCATTGAAAAGGCTGGCAATAGACAGGGACAGATCCACAGATTCGGTGTGGGGTGGTCGGCAGGGTGGATTCAAGGGGTGTGCAGTGGTACAGTTGCACCTCCCACTTTTGCCTCTGGCTCACTGCTGAGAGCTCTTTGTGGACATGGAACACGTGCAATGGTTTTTCCACCACACTTCCCTTTTTGCCAACCTGGATCCACAACAGATGGTTAGTCCATGTTCCTTAGTGCTGCATCTGTGCTGTACAGCAGCATATCTAAGCACAGTGTACCCTAGTGCACCCCAGAACCTCTCCCTGTATTTACACTTGGTGGTAGGTTTAGCAGGATTGATAGACTTCAGTAGCAAAAGAATATGGAACATTTTGCCACAAGGAAGTTTATATCATCAAGACAATGGCTCAGAGTATTGCCAACTATGGTGGAAAATTTCTGGGGGTTCCTTGTTCAATCTGAATGCATGTTACTAAATTACAAGTAACACATCTTCATTCTCTAAGCTTCTGAATGTATCCTGTACTTTGTGCCGTTCCACTGAGTTCAGTGAAATGACAATGGATGGATATAGTGGAGGACCTGCAGCAGAACAGTTGAGCAGTGGTTACAGTGTTTCCTGTGATGCTTGCTAAGGTGAAAACTATTTCAGCATACACTAGATTTCCTTATGGCAGAAATGTGAACCTAGCTAGTTATTTTACTTCTGTGCGATTTCAGTTGCCTTGCAATCAAAAGGCATGACAGCCCTTAGTACTGTTTTTCTTCCATTTAGGTCCAACACTAAGATATATAATTTATGGAAACAAGTGCATTTTTCCCATGTTGCCCAGTGTTTGATGAAAGCTCTCCTTGTACCAGGTCCCTAAGCCACTGCCCCTTCTTAAGATTCTCTTTAAAAGAACAGAAAACCTCTTTTCCTATATAACTAACAAATTATCATTAACTGTATTTCCCAGGGCATTTTGTTTTCTAGACCATTTGTTTGGTAGGTCCTAGATAAGTATCTCAGTAATGCCAACTAAGTACATAAAGCTGAGCACATGCACACAGATTTGGAGGATTAGATGCTTAGATTCAAGCTCACTGAGGCAGACTGCTGTTATATTTGTTGAAGTCAAACAAATTATTTAAAAATCAAAATGCTGGCCCATGAGTTGACATTTGGGTTGCCAACTCTGAATCTATTCCAGGAACCAAAGTGCCCGCGGCACACAATGCAAATGTGCCTGCATGCTTGCATATATCAGTTATGGATTACGGTGCGTAGATTTTATGCCAGGAAGGCAAAGGCACGTTACTATTACATTTTAAAAACCTACTGGACTACTATAGAAATTGGATTCAACATTTATTTTAATGAATGCCCTATCACGCATCTCCCAGGTGACTCTCAACCGTCTCCTTAAGATTTATATCTAATTCCTGGAGACTCCAGGGCAGCCCTGGAGGGTGTCAGCCCTAGATGATAACCAGCTGTTGACATTTTTGAAACACTGAAGTCTGAAAAGGAGAAAAGAAGAAAGAAACTTACAACAGCTGATACTTTTGGACTGCAATCATATTTTTCCTGGAGGTTTCCTCTTTGAACAGTTTTTTTTTTTTTGACCTGGTATAATTATGTTGGTTAGAAAAGTGATATTCTACTGAATCAGTTATCCTGGTCCAAACCCTTTTCTGGACAAAGTTATATGGGTGTATAGTAAAAGGGAATGGCCTGTTCTCCTTTCTATAGGGGACTAGCTAAGTTGCTTAATGGATATTTCCCCCCATTTAACTGCATCCAATATGGGCTATTGCTTTAAAGCAATACCAATATGGGTAAAGGAGTATGATGTGTGTGTGTGTACACAGGGGTGTAGGTTGTAGCCATGTTGGTCTAAGGACATAGGCAGGCGAGATTCTTTGGGTAAATCCGGTATCTTTTATTAGACCAACTAAAACAGTTGGAAAAGTTATTCTTTGCAAGTTTTCTGGTACAAACACCCTTCAGCAGCCTAAAAAAGCTGCTTCCTCAGCCTGACAAAGGGTGTTTGTACCCAAAACCTTGCAAAGAACTTTTCCAACTATCTTAGTTGGTCTAATAAAAGATATCTGATTTACCCAAAGAACTTTGCTTCCCTCTGTGTACACAGTCCCTTACTAAAGCTCCTGCCCCACCTGGGACTGGTTATAAATATTGAATCATGCTAAAGCAATGACTGGCAGTCCAGTAAGAAGACCACCTCTTGTTCCTGCGGGTGAAATCTGGGTGCTGTTATGTGCAAGGGCTTCCTCTGCTTTTGCTTGCCCTGATGCCTGGCAGAGAGAGCAGGGTTTTTGGACGTGCTCCTCACACGCAAAGGGCAGGTGCCCAGACTGGGAGCACTGGGGGCTTTTGGGTTCCTCCACAGCAGGGTGGAGTCACCGGTGCCGCCTCGCCCAGCAGCAGTGAAGGGTTTAATCCACAGCCCACTTGAGTCCCCGAGGACCTCCACGCACCACTCTGGCCTCTGGGGCACAGCAACACTCCCCTGAGGCGTGGCCCCCACAGGCCCCTTCGCCTCAATAGGGCGGGCTGCCGCAGCGGCCCGGTCCTCCCCGCTAGGTGGCAGCAGCGCATTCCAAGGCCTGGGCGGGAGCCTGGCGCCCACCGAGTCCCAGGGTGCAGTTATTGAGGGGGCGGGGGGTAGAGCGGCCCGGAGGATCTTTGTATCTCGGCGGACTCGATAGTCGTGGGCGTGCGCAGTGAGACAGAAGTTGAGGGGGCGGCAGGACTTAGCGATGGCGTGGGCGGGCTCCGCGGGGCGCGCAGACCGCGGTGTTTCCCGGCGCCCTTGGGGCGCTTCCCTCCCTGGATTCGCGTTACGCTCCGCAGTCTCGGCCGGGCCTGAAACAGTCATGGTTCAGCCCGCGGCCTGAGCCGCCGCCTCTGCGAGGCTTCCCGCCCCGGCTCTGGGCCGGGCCCTGCTTGATAGAGCCGCAAGGACTCGGTAGGGTGCTTCTGACATTTCTTTTAACCCCTCTTTTGCGGCACGGCCGTCAGCAGCTTTTCCTGTCCTTCCTCTCCACGCTCTGTGGTTGTCGGCCTTACAACAAATAGTCACAGAGACTGGAAGGGGCTCAAGGGCATTTAGTCCAACCCTTTGCCTGAGGCAGGATCATCCGTACCCAAACCATCCCATGCAGACCCTTGTCTAAACTCTGCATAAGGCAACCATGGAGCCTGACACAACAGAGGCCTAACACCCTAACCCAGGGCTAGACAACCCCCGGGCAGGTGCCAGGGCGCAGCATGCGAAGGCATTTTGTTTGGCACATGCACCTCGGGGTGGACAGCGGGGAAGGGGCTGGGGCTGCACTGCTACAAAAAGGATCAGGTCCCTTGTGGCTCCCCCACTGGCCACCCCTGGCATGCCAACATCTTCCAACTTGAGGTTGCGGGTGTTTTTGGCACTCTGCCCAAAAATGTTGCCAGCCACTACCCTAACCTGCCACAGAGAAAGGGGAACCACTGCAGCCAGTGTCCTGCTTCTATGAAATGTCATCAGAATACAGGCAATCCTCGGACTTAATGACACAATTGGTTCCTGAAAACCGCGTTTTAAGTAAAAACATTGTAACTCAGAACCAATTTTCTCATAAGAAACAAGGTTATAAATGGGGGATTAGTTCCTGAACCAAGGCCCGATACCCTATTTTCACCAAAAATACCACGTAATTTTGTACTCGATCAATTATAGATGGGCAACATAGCTACATTAATGTATTTATATTGTGAATAGCAATCATATTGTTTTGGAAGGACTTATTTGAAGTGACTTTGCTGGACTTTTTGAAAGACTTTGGTTGGATTTTTTGAAGGATTCTTGACTGGAGTCTTCTCAGGAGTCTTGGCTGCAGGTTTTTCTGGAGTCTTGTCTGCTTTGTTAAAGTGCCAAGGAAGTTTGGACAGATGTTCTTCAGGGAGATGAGTGACGCAGCGAACTTGTTCGCTGGCGTGGCATCGCATCAGATCAAGTGTTGTAAAGTCAAAACTGACGTCATAAAGTTGAAGCAGAGTGTCAATTTATAAACGTTGTAAGTGTTAAACATTGTAACTCAAAATGTTGTAAGTCGAGGACTGCCTGTACACTCCAGAAGTCCCAGGTAGAAAGCCATGTTCCCCGCTACAGAGGAAGGCAAAAACCCTACAGTCCTTGCCAGTCTGACTATGTGGTAAAAATCCTTGTTGACCCCAGATATGTTGATTGGTCTGACCCTAAATAGAGGGACAAGACCTTTTAGCCAGGAACCCCCAGCTTTTCTGCCAGCAGGAGCCTTGGCACAGCCCAGTCAAAGTCCCTAGCCTTGGCTGTAGCCAACACTCAGTGTATTTGGGAAGGCTTAAAAACACCCCGACACACACAGGAGAATATATGTGAGTTTCACAGCCACTCACTTGCTCACCCTGAAGGTTACTTCTTTCTAGAGAGCTGGCCAGCTCTTCGTTTTGCTCTTGGAATGTTTTGCGTGTAGCACAGGCATTGGCAGCTTTCTGCTGGCGTGACCTGTTGCCAGTAATTCTCCATCCCTCTGTCCCTTCAAGTGGCCAGCTGCCAACTACCTGACCTGCCTTCCACAACTCCAAGCTCAGATGTAGCAGACCAGTAGGCTATGCAGTGGAGAGGACCATTGTGAAAGGGATGGGCAGCACAATGCAGCTCCGTGGTACTAATCACCTGTGCTGGATTGAACCTCTTTGTGGGCTGGATCTAGCCCACAGGCTGTAGGTGTTTTCCTCTCTACCTGGCTTAAATATTTTACCTGTTATCTTGCTGTCTAGGCAACCCCCAATTAATGCTTGAAGATAGCAATGTTTAATAGAGAAAGAGGCAAAGTTATTTATGAAAAGCTCTGTCAATCTATGGTGATGAAACTATGCAGCACACCTAGCATGTTACTGGTGTAAGAGCTGTCTTGTTTTTATCTATTATTTATGCCTCTTAGTTCTAACAAGAAGGACATATTTTAAAAAGAGGAAAGCCTCTAAGGCTTCCTACAGGATTAAATACAGACACAAAGGCATCAAAGAATTTATTCGAAGTACAGATGTGTTAATTATATGTTTTTAAAAGATTCCTTTAAAGGAATCCCAAGTTGAAGTGTAACTTGCTGAAGTTGTGGCATAAAACAGAGTGAGATGTTCTGATTTTACCAGAACTAGTTGTTGTTCTTCAGTACATCAATGCTTTCTCCAAACTCCATAATTATGTGTTTAACATTGTGTTTGAAGCTCAGTGGAGGTCAGCCTATTCAAAGATAACTGCTTTTTAAAATTTTCCTAGGTACTTGGTGGAGGTCCAGGACTATTCAATAACCATGGGTCTCAGGTGCAGCAGCAGCAGCAACAAAGGAACCTGTCACTTCATGAATACCTGAGCATGGGACTGTTGCAAGAGGCTGGTATTTGTGTTCCACATGGACTAGTTGCAAGAACACCAGAAGAAGCATACACAATTGCAAAAGAAATAGGTATAATATTAACAAGAACTTATACAATATAGGAATCAATATGATAGAAGGGATAGCTACTTGTTTAATTTCCTGGTAAGACACTTCTTACAGTTCTACATGCTGTCTGTTTTTAAGAGCTTTTTCATGTGCTTTGGAAAAACTTGTTTGCTATCTCAGTACCTGTTTTGCTGGTGAAATATCCTTTTATTTGAAACCTTCTAAAGCCTGGGATGATGTTGTGCAGGAGTGGAAAACTATGAGGTCACTGGTGGTCAAGTGAAGGAGATGTGCATTGCTGTTTGAAATGCAGTAGTGTGTGCAACAGCACCGGGGCAAATTTATGTCCCTGAGAGCTATATATGGAGGATGTCAGTCCCTCTGCCTTGGCTGAGTCAGTGCTCACTCTGCTCTACTCCTGATCTGGCAACAGACAGCAGCCCCCATTGTCAAGCCACTACTATGTGTTCAAGTGCTTGTGTACTGGCAGCTTCATTTAGCAGCTATTCCAGCAGAGCATGAAGTGCACTCTGGGAAGGTACCAGCATTTGAAGAGGCCATAACAACTAGCTGAAGGTTCTGGAGCCTCTATATATACCTTCAGGTGGCTGTTGTATGACAGCAGAAGCCTTATTCTCCAGAGTGGAGTAACCCTGCCAGCAGAAAGAAAGGCTCTCCTCCTATAGTACAGCTTTGGGTGTGGACGCATTGAAAGCTTAGTTGGCAAAATTGGTGCTTTACCAGAAAGACTTTGTAATGTAGACTAGATCATAGAATGTGCTGGTGCCTGACACTCCGTTTCCTTTCCCCTGAACTGTGGGGGAGAACTCTTTACATGATTTTGGACCCATGCCTGGGATTCAAGTACAGGCCTGGTGGGGAATAAGGGATAGTTGATGCATGTCACTTCCCTCTTCCTGTCTCCACCATCTAGCTTTTTCCCTAAGAAAATGAATGTATCCCTCTGGCTGTGCTGGCTACTTTCTGTAATTTCTTTTTGTAATGGAATGGTTGGGTCTCATCCTTGTTTTTCAACAGGACAGTATGTTATGAGAAGAACAGAGTTTTTTGTGAAAGTCTTTAGCCTGTTTTTGTTGCAGAAGGGGATGATGAAAAGAGCTGTATGCTCTAGTGTAGCAATGTGTGCTGAATTTTCAGGGTATAAAGAAAATATTTTTTTCTTCATGACTGTGACTTCTCTGTCATGGTGCTCATAGTATATAACACTGTCATTTAATCTGTGAGAATAGTTGCATTGGCTATCATATCCCAAAAGTTGTACCAACATATTGTTATAAAGACAACCTTTCTTGTAGACTGATTCAAATTCTGAATTATCTTGACTTACATGTCACTGATGTGCTACCTTTTGGTTTCAGTTTTGATTTGCCTATTGTTAAAACTTTTGCTTTGATTTTTCCATGTTGTAATGAAATTACTTTTGCTTCTTAGCGCTTTGACATTAATCCTTGCTGAAATAATTTTCCAGACATCAGATCCGATTTTTATACTCCACTCAAATCTGGTTTTAATACAAGGAAGCATTTGTCTGATCTCACCGTTGTGCATGGGAGCCCTGTTTATACTTTCAGTTGGCTGCAGCTGAGGTGGTATCTCAAAGGCAAATGCTTATCTTTAGATGCTGGTGGGTGCATTGATATATTCCAGACAATGAGATCTAGGGAGCTGGTAGGGAACCTCTTCAAAATTCTTCTTGGAGCAAAGGGGCACTACTTTATGATGTAGCTAGAATGCACTTAGAGTAGTATATGTAAGTATCTTAAGACAATTTCTGTCCTCATAGCTAGAATGCAAAGAGCAAGAACGCAGAGAGAAAATCATCCTCTCCCTTGCCCATGGTGTAAGAGCCAGCTCTTAGTAACCTGCTGGGATTGCATGTCACAGCTGAATGAACCGTCTCTTCCTTTGTAGCTCTTTGCTTCCTTAGCTAGGACTGGGCTTCTTAGCGCTTTGACATTAATCCTTGCTGAAATAATTTTCCAGACATCAGATCCGATTTTTATACTCCACTCAAATCTGGTTTTAATACAAGGAAGCATTTGTCTGATCTCACCGTTGTGCATGGGAGCCCTGTTTATACTTTCAGTTGGCTGCAGCTGAGGTGGTATCTCAAAGGCAAATGCTTATCTTTAGATGCTGGTGGGTGCATTGATATATTCCAGACAATGAGATCTAGGGAGCTGGTAGGGAACCTCTTCAAAATTCTTCTTGGAGCAAAGGGGCACTACTTTATGATGTAGCTAGAATGCACTTAGAGTAGTATATGTAAGTATCTTAAGACAATTTCTGTCCTCATAGCTAGAATGCAAAGAGCAAGAACGCAGAGAGAAAATCATCCTCTCCCTTGCCCATGGTGTAAGAGCCAGCTCTTAGTAACCTGCTGGGATTGCATGTCACAGCTGAATGAACCGTCTCTTCCTTTGTAGCTCTTTGCTTCCTTAGCTAGGACTGGGTTTTTTTTTTTTTTTTCCACATCTGTTAACATTTGAAACTGCCACTCCTAGGTCCCAGGCTTAATAAGTCATGCTTAGAAAGGTCTTAGCTCTGGAAGCTTGGATTAAGGTGGGCACCAATAGCTGTGAAATGTGATCACTTGATCTTTCTGCAATATTATTTTAATTTATTTCTCCCTGTTTCCCAGCTTCAACTTTTGTACTATTTCTCTCAAATGTTTCTTAATGTTCAGGAAATCAGTCCCATGATGCCAAGAACCTCACCCCCTTTCCCTCCTCTTCGCTTCTTCTCTCCCACTGCCACTCTCCCTCTCCATGTTCTTAATTCACTAACCTATTGATTCAAGTAGTAAAATTTTAATTTTGAGTTTCACATCCAAAGGCAACGTTTGAGTGTGTTTGGTCAGGACAGCTCTTGGCTGCACCCTTTTTTCAGCAGCAGTTGACTGAAGTGATTTCTTGTGTATTGGAAATTCTTAGACATTTTTATAGAAATGTTGGCTACAAAGTACCAACTCATAGGATCATCATAAATTCTAGTTTATTAGATGGGATGTGAAGTTTTAATAGAATCATAAATGCAAACTTTGAGTTAAGAGGGGTATTGGCCACCTTAACGCACGCACGCGCGCGCGCACGCACACACGCAATTGCTGTAATAGTAGTGTAGCACTGATGTTGGTTTACACCTATCCAGGGTGCTGGGGTCGGCTGCCAATGGTCAGCTTCCTCCAAGGCTATGTCTTCTCCAGAAGGGAGTTGCCTGCTTGTCCTTCTGTCTTGGTAGGCTGCGTACTGAATGAGAGGGTGTCACTGAGGGTCACGCTTCACTGCCTTTTATCCCTCTCTGGCAGACTTCTGTGATCCCCAGCAATCTGGAGGTTGTGGTCTTACCTGGGTCTTGAGGTAGTGCATGACAGCTGTCGGTCACAGTCACTGGGGGTTCTGCCCGATGGTGCAGTTTTGGGAATCCATCCTTGACATGATTGACTTCATGGCTGTGTCCTAGGTTCCAGGTGACTTGATTAGCTTAAAATGGGTTGTAGGGTAGAGTTTTGTAATGGTAAGTTCCTCTGGCTAGGCAATTGTCAATTAACAGCCAGAGGCTCTTGCTTTGTCATTCAATTACCTACTGATTCATGCATACTTGCATTCACTCAAGGGACCAGCCCAATACAGCAGTACAATTGCAGTGATTACAATTCCAGTGCATTCTTATAATAATGATTTTTAGTAATACAAGGTATGACTTACTCAAAGGAATACATTTGTTAAAAGGTATAAAACAAAATACAGAATGTCAGGACAAAGATGAGACGGATGAAATATAAAAATGCAGTGCGAGTTAGTGAGGATCAAAGGCCATTGGGGACAGTAACTGAGTTAGGTTAGATTCAGTCATGTAGACTGATTTAGCATAAAACTTTAGACAGATATGGGAAGTTTGCTTTGGGAAATAAGTCTTAATCAAAGGGGGAATGTGTTCACCAGGGTATGTTTACAGTCATGTTTTCAATGCACCTTGGCTTTTCTTGTCTCTTCTAGACTGTGCTTTGAAGTGGATAGTTTAGTTCTTTTGTTTTCTTTGGTAACACTTAGCTCAGTTGATATGTAGATGTAGTTTGTAGGTTTCTCCTACAGAAAGCCACTTCAGTTTTTTGTCTTGCTCTGAGCCTTGCCACACCCATGCAGTATGTAGAAGGAAAAAAATGCACAAAAGCGGGGGGAAGATGGGGTACAAGCAAGAAGAGGCTTCTGTTATATCAGTGCCCAGAAGGGGAGTGTACAAAGGGGGCTCCCTGTTACAGAAACTTCCCTTTAAGTATGATATGGCTTACTCGACATGGAAGCAGTTGAGTGCTAAATGATGCTGCAGTACTGCTGCTGGTCCCTGTGTGTGTTGAGTAAGTTGACATTGTTTTTCACTTGATATATCTAAAAACTGCTTTAATCATACATTAAGTCACCTGTGAAGAGCTGCCTTAAATGGGTAGCACATGAATCAAATTAGTATTCACACCTTTCAACAAAGCCCAAACATCATGATGACTACAGTGTCAATCATGATGATGTTCTGAACCTAATTAACTGAATAAATGTTGGCTTCTCAGCAGAATATTGGGCTGTGTGGTGAATTTTGTTAGAATGTAGAAAACACTGATTTTTCACTTGATGCCTTTATTGTGAATGCTGCTGTGTTTATCTGGCAGTAGAGGTGCATGAGGAGTTGGTCAAACTTGTTTCCTCCTCCCTGCCCCCCACTCCCCCAGTGCTGGAACAGGTTCTGCAAGGGACTATATATTTGGCATTTGGAAATAAATATGATAGGGCATTTTCATTACTGAAGAAGACAAGGTAGATTTACACCTCATAAGTGGTAGGGAGAGCAGTGGGCTACAGGTCATGGTTGGGGGACAGGCAGCTTGTCCCCTGTTCTTTCCCCTGCTGCTCCCTCCCTTCCTGCCCCCCCCCACCAATTTACCCTTACTCTGGTACAGCTGCTGCTAGGAGGCTGGGCTAGGGTTGTGCTCTGTACCCGGGGCTGGA